ATCAAGTGAATGTTATGCTTTTACTGATGGTTCTGTGCAGACAAACACAGGTAGAACAGGCTGTGCATTTGTTATACATAAGGAAAAGGAGATGATAGTGTCAAACAAGCAAAGGCTGAACAACTGGGCCAGCACAACACAAACTAAACTAATGGGAATCTATTTAGCTACAGACTACCTTAAAGAAAATGGAGGTGGGGTGATATTCTGTGACTCCCAAAGTGCTTTGAAATCAATGAACAGCCAGTCAGGTTCTATGTCTAAAGTTGTCTGTGATATTAAAAGAAATGTGATAACTGCTAATGAGAACAACATTCGTATTGAATTTGTGTGGATTCCATCCCGTGTTGGAATTAGGTATCATGACTGTGCTGATAGACTCACGAATAAGGCATGTAAGAAAGAAAATGTTGACTGTGACCTTAGCCTGTCCAATGCTGTACTTAAAAACATTCAAGTCAAAATCATGAACTCTGATCTAGAAGAACTGAGAAATGCAGAGAGACCTGGCAGTTGTAGCATTAGTAAATATGAAAAAAAATTGTGACAAGAGGTACTGGTATGGCCAGCTTAAGGACAAAACTAGACAATGTGATATAGTTGTGGCCAGAATTAGGCTAGGATACAGACACATCTGGCAAGTTAGTAACGCTGTACCCATACCGGAACACTCAGCATGTAAACTTTGTGATAAACCTTTAAAGCATACACTTGAACACTATATTATTGAATGTGACACTGTCAAAGACTTCAGGCAACCTGGCTTATTGTATCATGAACTTTGTAATTATTACATTGAATCTGCAGTGCTTGAGGACATTCTTGCTGTTTATCCAAAATTTGCTGCTAGCCCACACTGATTAGTCTTCAATTAGAATACGACTTCTAATGTATATGAACCTCTGTCCTGCGTGGCAGTGAAGAGTGACGTCACCCACATGACTCTGACCTATATATACTGCTAATGAATATGATGCATTTCTTTGTGTACGAACCTCTGTCCTGCGTGGCAGTGAGAAGTGATACTACCCTCAGTGTCAAGACCTGACTGAATTACTTCAGAATAGGCAAACTGTACTCCAAGCTTTGCCAATAAATTTGTTAACCGGAAAAAAGAGGTCGGGGGGGGGGGGTAGCTGAGCGACCACCAACCTGTGGCTCCAGTGATCTCTTACTCACATTTCTCACTGTCTCCATCTCTATATTTTTCTCTGTTCTTTCTCATTTTCCTCTCTCTCTCTCTCTCTCTCTCTCTCTCTCTCTCTCTCTCTCTCTCTCTCTCTTTCTCTCTCCACCCCATCCAGTGTCTTTCTCCATTTACTTGCCCCATACTCTCCTTCATGCATCTCAGTGTCTTTCTATTTATCTACCTCTCGCTCATTCTCTCTCTTCACGCATCTCTATTTATCTACCTCTTTCCCACTCTGTCTCTAGCTTTTCATCTCCATCAACTCTCTCTCTCATGTCTGTCTGTCTGTCTGTTTCTCTCTGTCTGTCTCTTGTTTTCTCTGTCTGTGTCTGTATCTCTCTCACTAATGACGTAAAGTTTTAATAATATACAATGCTCCCCTAAATTTTCTTCTTTTAAACTGAGGAGTATTATCCGCCCGTTTTTATATTTCAAAGATTCTCCTGTCGTCTACCACAATGACTCAAAAATACCCCGGAATATAAACTAATTCACAAAGTTTAGCATAATAGAGCACAAGAAAAACAAATGAGCATCACTTACATGACAAGAAAAACAAAGGAGCATTACTTGTGTTGATGGTCGCCTAACAAACTTCTGAAGCGGGTTTATCCTTGTGAGTCTGATGAGCTTTGGTTTTTATAAGTCCCTCGACGACCGTGAGGGCGACTGATACACCAAAATACGTATTCTTGGACATTTCTATACTAAAAAAAATCACTGATAAAACTATTTTCATTTATTTATATAATTGATGGATTACTGGAAAATCGTGTTCATTGTATCTTCAATTAATAAAAATTAATACTTGCTCTATCAACTTCGCCTTTCCCTCTATAATATAAACAACCCATAATGCAACACAATTTAAGTCAACAATTCCATTATTCATATTCTATATATACATTTCTATTTCCTTTATGAACTATATTTACTCTTTTACCAATATGACGTTTAATGTAGCAAGAGTTAATGGATGGTAAAGTGTTTGGACTATTAATGGAGCACTAATAAAGAAAATATTCACCTGACGCCATTAACTACATGACGTCACACTGCTGCCTCCACCATTATGCAAATGTGTTTTAATTATACTGAATATAACACGACTTGTAATGACTTTATTTTCCTCTCTCTCTCTCTCTCTCTCTCTCTCTCTCTCTCTCTCTCTCTCTCTCTCTCTCTTTTCTCTGTCTTTTCGTTCTGTTTTCTTTCTCCATTTCTCTCTTTTTCTATCTCTGTCTTTCTCTCCCTCTCTCTTTGTCTATAACGAACACTATAATTCACTCTTTAACGAACACTTAATATAATTCTCTCTCTTTCTTTAACGAACACTAATATAATTCACTCTACAACGAACACTTAATATAATTCTCTCTCTTTCTTTAATGAGCAACAAAGCTTCAGTCTACACTATAACAATATTGACAGTTAACAAAACTTCCTGAACCTGAAATAATACTGTAATCTTATTTTCTGAAGTTCATGCCAATACTATTTGATTCAAGTGCTGTTTTTGTTGTACATAAACGACATAGTCCACGCCAGCACACTCATAAAATACAACTTATTTGTACACGATATTAATCTCTATGACAGCAACTCAGACCTCCATTCCTTGATGAGAACTATGAACACTGAATTGACTAAACTCAGGGCCTGGGTAATACGTAATAAGCCCAATACATGATCTTTCACAGAAGGAAAACTTACCCCAAGACTTGGACCCCTGTACCTTGGTAATACAGTCCTCAAACGCGAACAAAATACTAAATTCCTCTGAGTTATTGTAGATGAGAAACTTAACTGGAGAAACCACATACAAGCCATTCACAGTAAAGTCAATAAACTGTGCGGTATCATGTATCACACTCGACAGTCAATCACACTCGACCAGTCACTCACTCTCACAGCAATGAAAGAAATTTATCATGATCTTGTTTACCAACACCTGATACACTGCCACACACTATGGGGGCCTCTGGCTCTTCAAAAACACAATCTCTGGTTACTGCACAAAAGAGAGTTGTAAGGACAATGACCTACTTGAAAAAAATAAATCACACAAACGAAAAATTTGCTATATTGAAATTTTTTAAATTCGAAGGAAGATATTAACACCTACTGCTGTGCCCTCTTTGTTCACAAATCTATCAATCACTTGCTTGACAATAATTATTTCCAGTTCCGGAATAATCAGAGATACAACTTAAGGCACCCAGAGCTACTAAGACCACCCCCCTCCCCCTATGTGCTCCTCTCAGTCCCAGACCTCCATAATATCAGGGTGTGAAGGTGTGGAACAACTTACCCCCACCCATCCGATCAAAGACTACGCTCCTTTCCTTTAAATCATCTCTTAAAAAATATCTATTGTCGAAGTATTAATATTTTATGTAGCACCCACTATATTTACAGTACCTGTTTTTATTGTACCATCAAAACTGTTTTATCGGAAATTATCATGTAAATAGATAAGAAATTACCATTGCAATAAATATAAATGCCAACTAGACATAATCCTGACAGCTCTGTCCTCTTGTTCAACCTTAATACTGTACAACCCATGTTGTACTGCTCCCCCATTATACTTATGTTTTTCAATTCCACTGTAATTTTTGTATATACTTATAATATAAATAAAAATTAACTACAGAAAAAATACATAAATAAATAAAATAAATAAATATTGAAGTGATAACCGTGGTAACATTATGAGATGTTCTTATTACCACCATGCTATTGTACTATTCCAGATGATACTAAATGTTACATAATACTTCCTTGAGATAAATGTATAGTATATATCAGGTGCCTCAAAGAGAGCTCAGGTTCTCAACTGGCTCAGCCATGTTAATATTGTTATCATTATCCACTCTGTATCTGTGTTCTTCTGACTAAATAAACTGTTGCAATTCAATTAAAAAAAACAGTACCGGGACGCCTACAGTTGTAATAACTGTACTAAACTGTAATATACTTCTCAGGTTTGGAGTGAGGGAGGGCTTGTGGAGGCTTGGAGTACATTGGAGGAAGTTTGTGAGTATTTGAGGTTATGGAGTAAAGGTGGAGTGATGACAGCCGAGGAGTTAGTTTACTGAGCTGGAGTTGTTATGTAGGTCTCTCTCTCTCTCTCTCCACCACAGAACACCACTCCTATGATGCTTTAATATTTAAACCAGTGATTTTTCATAGATTATGTCAGAGATGTGTGTGTGTGTGTGTGTGTGTGTGTGTGTGTGTGTGTGTGTGTGTGTGTGTGTGTGTGTGTGTGTGTGTGTGTGTTTGTGTGTGGCAAACAATGTGTGTGTGTGTGTGAGTTCAGGTTGGCATGACAGAACCTTTATACAAACACACTATAATGTGTTACTAAGTTATATCATTCATAACTATAACTGATCAAGTAAATGAATAATAATAATAATAATAATAACAATAATAATAATAATAATATAATGTGTATTAATACCAATAATAATAATAATAATAATAATATTAATAATAATAATATGTATTAGCATAGTAATAATAATAATAATGTAATAATATGTGTAACAATAATGTGTGTGTGTGTGTGTGTGTGTGTGTGTATAATAATAATAACAATAATAATAATAATAACAATAAAATAATAATAATAATAATAATAAATAATAATAATAATAATAATAATAATAATAATAATAATAATAATAATAACAATAACAATAAGAAGAAGAAGAAGAACGAGTCGATCAGTGGTGAAGAGGATAAAGGTATCTCCTCGAAGCACCACACACAACCCAACATAAAGGAACTACAGATGACTCACCACATTACCCAGGTAGTGCCTCAAGAACAACACGCATACACGCAAGGAATGCCAGAGTGCCAGGCCCGCCACCACCAAAACAATGGAGGGAAGGAGGGAGGGTGACTAGTGCCCCTATCCTGAGAGCGGACGTGACCATTGATGCCGTCAGCACAGCCCACTGCTCTCTCTCTCTCTCTCTCTCTCCCTCTCTCTCTCTCTCTCAGTAGGAGCTAAAGTTATCCGTCTGACGCATGAGGGTCACTGAGAGAGAGAATAAATGCTTCGTATCAAATATGAACCACTTCAACAAAGCTTAAAAGCTCAACAACACAGCAGGAGGAATGTTGTGCAGTAGACTCCAGGACCGACTAACTCTCTGTGCTCACCATCACACAACACCGACCCCCTGAATTGGGTAAACAGAAGCAGTTTAAGTGGTTAAGTGGCCAGAAAGTGTTTGTGTGGTGCTGTGAGTGTGTTGAGAGGGGCTGTGAGGGAGTGTGTTGTGTGGTGCTGTGAGGGAGTGTGTTGTGTGGTGCTGTGAGGGAGTGTGTTGTGTGTGGTGCTATAAGGGAGTGTGTTGTGTGGTGCTGTGAGGGAGTGTGTTGTGTGGTGCTGTGAGGGAGTGTGTTGTGTGGTGCTGTGAGGGAGTGTGTTGTGTGGTGCTATGAGGGAGTGTGTTGTGTGGTGCTGTGAGGGGTGTGTTGTGGTGCTGTGAGTGGGTGTTGTGTGGTGCTGTGAGTGAGTGTGTTGTGTGGTGCTATGAGGGTGTGTTGTGTGGTGCTATGAGAGTGTGTTGTGTGGTGCTATGAGAGTGTGTTGTGTGGTGCTATGGTGGAGTGTGTTGTGTGGTGCTGTGAGGAGTGTGTGTGGTGCTGTGAGGAGTGTGTTGTGTGTGGTGCTGTGAGGAGTGTTTGTGTGGTGCTGTGAGTGTGTTGAGAGGGGCTGTGAGGGAGTGTGTTGTGTGGTGCTGTGAGGGAGTGTGTTGTGTGGTGCTGTGAGGGAGTGTGTTGTGTGTGGTGCTATAAGGGAGTGTGTTGTGTGGTGCTGTGAGGGAGTGTGTTGTGTGGTGCTGTGAGGGAGTGTGTTGTGTTGGTGCTATGAGTGCAGTGTGTGTGTGTGGTGCTGTGAGGAGTGTGTTGTGTGGTGCTGTGAGGGTGTGTGTGTGTGTGCTATGGTGAGTGTGTGTGTGGTGCTGTGAGGGAGTGTGTTGTGTGGTGCTATGAGTGAGTGTGTTGTGGTGCTGTTTGTGGTGCTGTGAGTGTGCTATGAGTGGTGTGTGTTGTGTGGTGCTGAGGGAGTGTGTGTGGTGAGGGAGTGTGTTGTGTGTTGTGTGGTGCTGTGAGGAGTGTGTTGTGTGTGGTGCTGTGAGGAGTGTGTTGTGTGGTGAGAGTGTGTGTGTGGTGCTGTGAGGGAGTGTGTGTGGTGCTGTGTGGTGTGTGGTGAGTGAGGTGAGTGTGTTGTGTGGTGCTGTGAGGGAGTGTGTTGTGTGTGTGTGAGGAGTGGTGCTGTGGTGCTGTGAGGGAGTGTGTTGTGTGTTGTGGTGCTGTGAGAGTGTGTTGTGTGGTGCTGTGAGTGAGTGTGTGGTGCTGTGTGTGTGTGGTGAGTGTGTTGTGTGGTGCTGTGAGTGTGTGTTGTGTGTGGTGCTGTGTGGTGCTGTGTGTTGTGTGGTGCTGTGAGTGAGTGAGTGTGGTGCTAGTGTGTTGTGTGGTGAGGGGAGTGTTTGTGTGGTGCTGTGTTGTGTGGTGTGTGAGGTGTGTTGTGTGGTGCGGTGAGGGAGTGTGTTGTGTGGTGCTGTGAGGGTGTGTTGTGTGTGGTGCTAGTGTGAGTGTGTTGTGTGGTGCTGTGAGGGAGTGTGTTGTGTGGTGCTATGAGGGAGTGTGTGTGTGTGTGGTGTTGTGAGGAGTGTGTGTGTGTGGTGTGGTGCTATGTTGGTGGTGCTATGAGGGAGTGTGCTGTGGTGAGTGAGTGTGTTGTGTGGTGCTGTGAGGGAGTGTTGTGTGGTGCTGTGATGGAGTGTGTTGTGTGGTGCTGTGAGTGAGTGTGTTGTGTGTGGTGCTGTGGAGGAGTGTGTGTGGTGCTGAGTGTGTGTTGTGTGGTGCTATGAGGTGTGTTGTGTGGTGCTGTGAGGGGAGTGTGTTGTGTGGTGCTGTGTGAGGGGAGTGTTGTGTGGTGCTGTGAGGAGCTGTGTTGTGTGTGTGTGTGGTGAGTGTGTGTTGTATGGTGCTGTTGTGTGTGGTGCTATGAGGGAGTGTGGAGGAGTGTGTTGTGTGCTGAGGAGTGTGTTGTGTGGTGCTGTGAGGAGTGTGTGTGTGGTGCTGTGGTGAGTGTGTTGTGTGGTGAGGGAGTGTGTTGTGTGGTGTGTTGTGTGGTGCTGTGTGTGTGGTGCTGTGGAGGGAGTGTGTTGTGTGGTGCTGAGTGTGTTGTGTGGTGTGTTGTGTGGTGCTGTGAGGAGTGTGTTGTGTGGTGCTGTGATGGAGTGTGTTGTGTGGTGCTGTGAGTGAGTGTGTTGTGTGTGGTGTGTGTTGTGTGGTGCTGTGTGAGTGTGGGTGTGGTGTGAGGGGATGTGTGGTGTGTGTGTGTGCTAGTGTGTTGTGTGGTGCTGTGGTGTGTGTGTTGTGTGGTGCTAGTGTGTGTGTGTGTGAGGGAGTTGTGTGGTGCTGTGAGGGAGTGTTGTGTGTGGTGCTATGAGGGAGTGTAGTGTTGTGTGTGGTGCTATGAGGAGTGTGTTGTGTGGTGCTATGAGGGAGTGTGTGTGTGTGGTGCTGTGAGGGAGTGTGTTGTGTGGTGCTGTGAGGGAGTGTGTTGTGTGGTGCTGTGAGTGTGTGTTGTGAGGAGTGTGTTGTGTGTGGTGCTATGAGGGAGTGTGTGGTGCTATGAGTGTGTTGTGTGGTGCTATGAGGGTGTGTTGTGTTTGTGTGGTGCTGTGAGGGAGTGTGTTGTGTGCTGTGCTGTGATGGAGTGTGTTGTGTGGTGCTGTGAGGGAGTGTGTTGTGTGGTGCTGTGAGGGAGTGTGTTGTGTGGTGCTGTGAGGGAGTGTGTTGTGTGGTGCTGTGAGGGAGTGTGTTGTGTGGTGCTGTGAGGGAGTGTGTTGTCTGTGAAACACACAGCACAACATTACTACTACTTTGCTGTCACTCGGAAACAAGTATGAATATCAACCAGCTATGATACAATGATATGAGTTATTAGGGATGTCACCTAGGTTGGTGAGTTATGAGGTGACTGAAAAGGTCGATACGGGACCAGCAATGCCATCTATAGGTATAGCACGTGTGGAGGGCTACACTAGTGCGGGAGAGCCAGCGGCAGCGTCTTTCCGGCGTTGGCGCTTGTCTGCCTTGGTAAGCAGTCGGGCTAAATCGAAAGTATAGACACCTTCTTGTGTGGTGCTCCTCCAAGCGTTGCGGTGTGGAGTAATCGTCTCCCAGGTGAGGGGGTCGATTTGGCACTTTTTCAGGTTTGTCTTAAGACTATCCTTATACCTCTTCAGTTGCCCGCCGGCGTTACGTTTACTATTCGTTAAGTGACTGTAAAGTAGCTGCTTTGGCAGTCTACTGTCGTCTATGCGGATAACATGGCCAGTCCATAGTAGTTGTTCATGGATAATGGTAGCCTCGATGCTCCTACAGTTGGTGTCAGCAAGAATACTGGCATTTGTTCTTTGGTCTTCCCAGCGAACTCGGAGGATGGAACGTAGACTACGTTGGTGAAAGTTTTCAAGTGCCTTGAGGTACCTCCTGTTTGTGACCCATATCTCGATGCCATATAGTAGGGTGGGGAGGACCACTGCTCGATATACGTGCAGCTTTGTAGATAATTTCAGTTCCCTATAGCTGAAGACACAAGTACGGAGTCTGCCAAAGGATTGAGATGCACATCTGATCCGATGTTGAATCTCTTCATCGATGTCCGCGGTGGTGGACAGGTGGGAGCCGAGATAGTGGGTAGTACCATTAAGCTGGATGGATGGTGGTGTGGCCGAACCAGGGGCAGGCTGAAAGAGGATCTGAGTCTTAATTAAAATTCACCTCAAGTCCGAAGTGTGCATATGCATCGCATCTGCGTAGGTGTTCAGGATCTCTTGTACATCGTGTTTAGTGAGAGCGACGACGGTGACGTCGTCTGCATACTGAAGTTCAGTAATAGAAGTTGCGGACACCTGTGTTCCTACCTGGAGTCGTCTTATGTTGAAAAGACCCCCTTCACCCGGTACTGGATGTGCACCACGCCGGCTAAATTGGCATTGGCACGAGTAAGGAAGGCAGCCAAGAAGATGGAAAAGAGAGTTGGTGCCAGTACACACCCTTGTTTAACCCCTGTTTGGATGGGGAAAAACTCTGACTGGGTACCACTGTGCAGGACACTGCCGTTCATGCCATCGTGGAGTTGCCTCACAATGGCGATGAATTTTGGTGGGCAGCCAAAACGGCTGAGGGTCCACCAGAGGGCTTCCCTGTTTACCGCGTTGAAAGCCTTGGTTAGGTCGATGAAGGACATGCCACTGTACCTCCATTATGCCACTATCTCCATTATGCCACTGTACCTCCATTATGCCACTGTATCTCCATCATGCCACTGTACTTCTATCATGCCACTGTACCTCTATTATGCCACTGTACCTCCATTATGCCACTGTATCTCCAACATGCCACTGTACCTCTATCATGCCACTGTACCTCCATCATGCCACATATTAACCCTGCCCATAATGGGAAGGACAAACAGACATACAAAATCCTCTGCTATACACCTCACTCTACCCGGGGTGGCGGTGGTAAGGAGAATAAGTGTTACCATGATATACTCCCCCACCCCAGGTTAGGTTAGGACTTATAGCCAATACAGTTTATCAGCAAGATGGTTCACCTTGCCACTTTGCTCGTAGTGTTCGACAGTTTTTAAACTAAGTTTTCCCGGATAGATGGATCGGAAGAGGTGAGGCAATCGCTTGGCCATGGCCAGCTCACTCACCGGATTTGTCCCAATTGGACTTTTTCCTACAGAGTCATGTTAAAACTGCAGTTTACTCATCAAAAC